TGCAGGGAAATGGATGGCATTAGAGCAGATTATGCTAAGTGAAGCTAGCCAATCCTTAAAAAACAAATGCCAAATGTCTTCTTTGATTTAAGGAGAGCAACTAAGAACTGAGCAGGGAGGAAGAGCAAGAGGAAAAGATTAACATTAAATGGATACAAGTGGTGGGAGGGAAAGGGAGAGAGAGGGAAATTGCATGGAAATGGAAGGAAACCCTCCATGTTATACGAAATCACATATAAGAGGTTGTGAGGGGAAAGGGGGAAAAAAACAAGGGAGAGAACTGAACAACAGCAGATGAGGTAGAGACGGAAGATGGGAGGGGAGGGGAGAGTGGATAGTAGGGGATAGGAAAGGCAGAAGAATACAACAGTCACTAATATGACATTATGTAAAAATGTGAATGTGTAACTGATGTGATTCTGCAATTTGTATTTGGGGTAAAAATGGGAGTTCAGAACCCACTTGAATCAAATGTATGAAAGATGATATGTCATGAGCTTTGTAATGTTTTTAACAACCAATAAAAAAAAAGTATTGAGGTTACTCAAAAGACTCGGCATGGAATTTCCATATGACCCAGCCATACCACTCCTCGGCAGCTATTCTAAAGAATAAATGTCAGCATACTATAACTATACATGCATACTTATGTTTCCTGTAGCACAATTCACAATAGCCAAACTATGGAACCAGCCTAGGGATCTGTCAATGGATGAATCAATAAAGAAAACACAGTATATATACATAATGGTACTTTATACACCCATAAAGAAGAGTGTTGATTGTGTTATTTGCAGAAAATTAGATGGAACTTGAGAACATTATGTTACACAATAATATATACATAATGGTACTTTATACAGCCATAAAGAAGAGTGTTGACTGCATCATTTGCAGAAAAATAGATGGAACTTGAGAACATTTTGTTATGCAATAAACCAAACTCAGAAAGTTAATGGTAATATGTTTTCTCTCATATGTGGAGCTAGAGACAATAAAAGGGAAAGATAGTCAAGGAGATCTCATGAAAATTGAAGGGAGATCAGTAGAGAAAAGGGACCATGGGAAAAGGAGGAAGGGAGAGAAAAGGGAAACTCTGGGGGATTATATTCACCAAATTATATTGTTATATTATGCACATGAATTCACAACAAATCCAATCATTATTTATAATTAATTAAAATGTACCAATAAAATATGAGGGGAAAAGCCATTTTAACTTCACACAAAGCATTTACCAAAACCGACTATATGCTGGGTCACAAAGCAAACTTCAAAAAACTTTAAAGAAATTATTGTTATTCAAAATATACTCCCAGGACACAATGAAATTAAGCAAGAAATTAGTAAGAAATATTTAGATAGAAAATCCTGACCTGCATGGAAATTGAATAGGATATTAGTACAATGATCAAAGAATAATCACAACAGAAATCTGTAAATACTTTGAACTGAATTATAATTCAGACATGATATACTGGAATTTGTGAGATGCACCTAAAATTGGTGCTTTGAAAAAAAGTTATAGCCTTATCAAAAAGCTAGAAAAAGAACAGAAAATCAAATAAAAAGAAAGCTGAGAAAAAGAAATAATGAATAGAAGAAACCATGAATGGGAATAAAATGTACAATAAGATAATTCAACAAAGTCAAATGTTTATTCTTTGAAAAGATTAATGAAAGTGATAACCTCTTGGGCCTGGGGTTGTGACTCAGCCGTAGAGTGCTCACCTAACTCGTGCGAAGCCCTGGGTTCGATCCTTAACATCACATAAAAATAAATAAAGATATTGTATCCAATAAATAAATAAATAAGAAAATGGTAGACTCTCAGCAAGACTGAAAAAACTACAAATTGACACCCTAAGTCAGGCAAGGGTAGGGAGAACATGACTACAGACCTTATAGATATTAAAAGTAAAACACATCATAAACAACTTTTCAGAAATAAATGGGGCAAATTACATTCAAAGTGCCAATCTTTTTAAACCAAAACAAGCTAAAGAAAAAGTTGATATTCTGAATACTTCTTCCTCATTAAAAAATTGAATCACTCAATCACTTCCTATAAAGAAAACTCTAAGCCAGACAGCTTCATAGGTGATTCTTCCAAATACTTAAGGAAGAACTAATACAAAACTCACATTCTTCCAGAGACAAGAAAACAAATATCCATCTCAATCTGTTTATAAACCAATAATATTAGTCTCAAAATCTGACAAGGACAGTTCAAGAAAATTACAGACCAATATTTTACAAACATGGATGCAAAAGTTCATTTTAAAAAGAGGGAGAATATAAGTTAGATAACAGAACACCTTATATCTCCACAGGAACACCAATTCTGGCAAATACTTACCTACAAAAAGACCTTTCCAACAGACCTGGAGTTTAGTTGGATTTCCAGAAACCTGATGAGGAAGAAAAATACTGAGAATCAATACACTGAGGAGCAGAAAAGAAGGGAAGTTTCACTTTATCTACATCATTCCTTTCCCCAAGGTAGCACAGCTGCGTGTTGAGAGGGGGTGGTCTTGGCCCACAATCTCTCCCACTGGAGAAGCTAAGAGCAAAGTGAACTGCTTGCTTCCACAGCCTTGTGGGCCTTTTTCAGTAGAATCAGATGGGTCTCACTTAACCCAGACCACTGAAGAAATCAGCACAACTGAATAATATCGGGAGCAGCTGGGAGCAGGACAAGGGTTAGAAGCTCACACCATGGATCACAACCACTATCAGTGGATCCTTCTAATCAGTTTTCATACTCCATCAAAAGGCCCACCCACAAATCCCAGAGGATTACTTGCTTGTTCACCCTCTCAACCAGTGGATCTGTGCCACTAGCACACCATGTATCTCCTCATAGTCAGCACCCATGGATACCTATGAATACCCTATACAATCTCACAGATGGTGCACATGAGCTCCATGCAGACAGCACACACATCTCAACAGTAGGTGTGAGTCCTAGTAGCTTGCTCAACTCTGCTGAATTGGAAGAAGGCACACAGCTTGAAAACATCAAGGTACTGCCCTGGGGAAAATACAAGGGAAGATCTCAACATCAAGTCTCAATTTGCAGGGTGGAGAGAAGGCACAGAATCCCAAGACTTTCCCCATAAGAAGAAACAAGAGGAGTAGCATCAAAAAGGTCTCAGAATCTCCCCAAGTCTCCTGATAGGCTCACTGGTCTTTCTCTCCTGAAGTCAGTCAGTAAAGACTGGAGAAGTCACTACCTCTTTAAATACAAAGAAACAATGCAAGACTTCAAAAGAGACAAAGCATCAAGGAATCGTAACACCACGAAAGGAAAACAAGGCAATGCACCAGTAATTGGTCTTAAAGAAACTGAATACCTACAAATTTCCCAACAATGAAACTCAGTGAGCTAAAACAGAACAAAGATAGAACACTAGATCATATCAGGGAAATAATACATGAACAAATGAGAAGTTCTGTGAAAAGACAGAAACCATGAATATAACTAAAGAGAAAACCTTCAGTTGAAGAAATACAGGTCTAAATTGAAAAATTAAATAGCTTCAGTAGCAGAGTCAACCAAGCAGAAAGAAAAAAATCAGTGAACTCAAAGACAGATCATTTTAGACTGCCCAGTCAGAGAAACAGAAAAGGGGAATGAAAAAGAGTGAAGAAAGCCTATAGCACTTTA